TAAAGGAAGTATCATCGAAACAATGATTTGTGCCAAGGTAAAAAAAATACAAAAACAAACTTACTACCGGTGCTATTATTGCTTGCTATAGGTGAACGCACGCATATGATGTCATCAGATAGGCTGACAAACAAACAAATCAGTTGCTGTGCTTGCAAACAGCGCGTTTCGCGATTGTTCAGATATTAGTTCATCGGGAGTGTTAGCGCGATATCGCGACGGCTTTGATGAATCGTGGTGCTAAATGTATCTACATATGTACTACAGTTCCACATGTGACGTGGTATTATCTAACAACACATTCGAATTTCTGTTCCCCGCTTTACAGTGGAAGCGACTGTCAGTTTAATTGACATAATGCGGATACTCGTAACACTACTACTATGAAATTTTACATTAATTCGTAACATTAAAGAATATTATTTTAAATCGTATTCATAAGTTTTATAGGTATGAAATAAAAATGTCCTAGTAAAAATCATAATTTCTTTGGCGTCAAGGCGATCAGACAGACAATATTTTAATTATAAAGCTGAATGTTTGAGTTAATAACACTAATTTAAATTAAACACTATAGTTAAATACTAGGTAGCGCAAAAGTAATCAAACTGTCGGAAGATGCTATAATTTTTCTAAATGGCCTTAAATCTCAGTTCTGCTTTGACAATTGGGAAGTAAAAAGATACAAAATATACGTCAATAAGACTATACTATATACGTAATAAATAAAAACAATATGTATGTATTTCTAAAAAAAAAATGTACGTATTCTTTCAGTAAATCTAGCTTTCATGGTACAAGCTCTGCTTAGTTTTAAGCTATATGGAGTTGTGTTGGCTAAATTATTATAATTATTATTTATTTTGCGTCCATAAAAATATGAAAAGAAGAAATGATTTATTCAATGTGACCGTTATCATTAAGTGTTACCATTATGTTGGATCCTGTGGATTTTTGGATGTATGTTGACATAATTTAAAAAAACCTGAAAGTCATATCACTATATCACTAAGACTCGTTAATAGTCACTTTTCAAAAAATAAATAGAGGAATCCTTAGAACAAATATTGGAGATTCTTTTACTGACTTGACTTCTCTTCTTATTTATATACTTACAGACAGATTAAAAAACACCTTTCTATTAATATCGATCTGTAACTACTGTTTTAATGAAAAGTTCGTTTCGATTCGTTATCAGAAATGTTTACGAACTATTCCATGAGCTGACTGAGGCTTCTATTTAATATAAAAATAAAAAAATGAATTCATAATTGGATCCAAATTTTCTTAAACCTTGGAACCTGACTAGGCCATATATGGTCTAATTCCTCGGATAACTTTTATATTGCCAAGATTTTTTTCGATACACGTAATCGCTTAATTACGCACCAGAAAAATTATGCCAACAACAGAAGTAAAAATGTTCTGTTCGGATAGCGAATTATTATGACAGGTATCCTTTGGGACACACGCACAGTGTCACTCCGTTAAATGAAATATTTAATAATGGAGACAGTACAATCGTAGTGGGATTAAAGAAAATTGGCCCTTTTGTCACGCTGCTACTTTATTGATATCATTTTAGTAATAGCTCACTGTAGTTTGAAGATATTATCTGTTCTCGTGTAAACATGTGCTGCGATTGTCATGGCGTGCTTTGTTAATCAAACAGAAATGTACACACAGGTGTTTGAATGCCGTGAAAGTTTTTACAAGTTTTATGTGTGTTATACTACGGGTATCCAAATAGTCTACAGTAGTGTAATCAGTGATCTTTCGGTATGGTTGACCATCCGGTTCACTTTCAGTGTCAATCCATTACATATTTGTAAGACATTTAGCTTAGTTTGAAAAATAACAATAATAACAATGTTAATTTATGATATAGTCGTGTGTACGTCACTAGTTTTCTATGATATTAAATCGTCCTTCTTTATTTTTTTGATAATATTAGTTATTAAACCACCCGTATAATTGGTGTAAGTGAAGAAGCCTTCTTCTAATAAAGCTCAACCCCTTGGAAACGGGCGGTTGTAGATCTTCAACGGCATATTATAGATTTTGTATAATTTTTATCAAATTTATTTTGATTACTATTTGAAAAAAAACAGAGATGGTTGCTGTTTTTTCAAATAGTGTGTGTTGACCTATGACTTAGTCTACAGAAAAGACGATTTCAAACGATTTAAAAAAAAATAGGAAATAAAGATATTTTGAGTTTGAGTTTGAATATGATAAAAATGTTACTGCTAGAAGCTTCATTTATCTTCGATCTTACCGAAAGTAATATTATCTACGACTAATCAGTCCCACGCACGAAATTGCTATACTTTCTCTTCCATTAAAGATTCGTTTTTAGCAATTCCCTTAATATGTATTTCAATATGTTACTTTTAATTTCTGTTGTCAGAATTACGAGAAAGTATTAATTGTATGTATGTAAGTATGTATGTAATTAAACATAAAGCTCTGCCTGAAACACACATGAACTCTTTACAAGAAGTCATGGAAGTTAACAAATATAATAGAGTACTGTCTAAATAGTACAGCACTTTTACTATGGAACAATCTTTATCATATATACCTGTATTTTAATCCTGCGATATCTGAGGCTAAACTATAGGTACACATTCCAGCCATCTACATGTAAAATTATCTCATACTTCGCTCACTTACCCCAGGACCGGTGTGAAAAATATTTGAGCTAGAGTGGAATTAGCAAAGTTTCCGGGCATTCCGTGTGAGGGCGCCACACATCGCCCGAATATTAAAAGGCGAATTAGAGTGGTCACGCCTCGATGCGTTCATAAATGTTCTTATTTGGGCTCAACTTGTTAGACCACTTGTGGTTACGTGACTCTAGCTGGCTGTAAAATTGGGTTTTTCATTGTGCCTACGTAAGAAACATAAAATGTGGTTTGAATTCATGTAGTATTAGCGACTTAGTGCTTACATATCTCTGCTATAGATATATCTTATCCATACCAGATAATTCTGTGTAATCAAGCAACTAATGCAATGAGATACTTTTATGTTACAATTATACTATGTATTTAAATCTCTTTTACTGACGCCATTTACTCGCTTCGTATATATTCAAACAAATCAAAAGTTAAATCAATAGAGTTAAATCGAAAGGTAATCAGATACAAACATTAACTCAAAAGACACCTCCGAGGTTCGCATTGATCACACCCGAAGTTTGGTTTTACCGTAACGTAGCCCTGGGGAGCAACCCCGAATACCGATCGACTGTCCTTGTCCCACGCTCTCGATTACAAATGCGAAAGAAGGTAATGATGCGATGTAGACCTCACAAATTGACCGTAACAGTACCGCATTAGGTCAGAATCTATGTCGCTGGAATATAGCATAATCTATTTGTTCTTGGCAATATCTTTTTTGATTCGGTCAAATGCCAGACGAGCGCCTATTATGGAGAAATTGATAATGATTGGACTATTTTGATGTCGATCTGACTAAAGTAGTAAATTCCAGAATTTATATAAGTTAATAGATTTTTATTTCTTTACTACTAGGCAAGTAATACAGGTCAAACTCTTCTACAATGTTTTTTTCAGTCACATTTTCCTTCAACAAAAATAAAGGAATATTACTTACACCATTTTACATAGAAAACATTATATAATAGTAGTAGTAATAGTATATACGCATAATATATACTGTCATCAGCTTAAACAATATTATATGAATATATTACCAGCTTTATTTTCATTACACATTATGATATGTATTGTTTTCAACTTTCATACAAATTACTTAGATACACATACATACTTTAATCTATTTCTGTAATAAAAACGTTAATTTAAAAATGTTCTGTATAATTAATTTATAGATGTAGTTAGACCTTAATATTCTCTGTAGCTGGAAAGTACCACGTGACATGTGTTTATTTTCCCATGACAGTTGTAACAGTCTGCGGGAACCATGGTATGTTTACCGTTTCGATTTCAAAGATGATGGCCTCCACCTTATTATTAGTGTCTTGCTATTTATTTATTGAAAAAATAGGATCGCTTCTAAAAAAAATGATGATAAAGATTGCAAAAAAACGAGATCCTTTACCTTCTCTTTACACAGTATTAATGTCAAAGATAAATCAGCGTCCAATGTATGTCCGAAAATTAGGTGTTATTTTTTTATTCACCACAAAAGAGGGTTGCTCAGGGTCGGCCCACAAAAGCTTGGCAATTCTCTCTTAAACAAATCACCACTAAACAAACGTTTCTACAGGTAGGAATAATTCAACGAAAGGTCACCTGTTACGGGTGTTCGACATCGATCATCGGGAGTGCGTCGTGTCGACCTACCCGCGTAATGTTACCCATGGGAGTGGCCAACGCCAGCGACTGCGACGCCGAGACAAAACCCACGGGTCCAAACCTGTCAAAACGAACTTGCTCGCTTTTGTGTACACGCACATTTTATAACACGGGTTTCATACACCCACTGTGTACTCTTACTTGTACCACGATACATGACATATCTGATACACATCTGAAAAGTTAATAAGGAAGGAATTTATAATTAAGTCGTATGTACAGTTACGTATAGCGAGGTGTCACGCGTCGGCATCAACATGAATATTTACTATGCAATTTCGTATTTTAGATTTATCACTGTTTTGTTGCCGGTCGGGGAATTTTAAAAATGCTCCTTCGTGGGCAAATTTAGGTGTCGCGTTATGTAGGCAAATACGGTGACAGCGCATCTCCGCAAGCGTGTATTGTTCATGTCCTAACCGCCGACTTTCCATTTATTTCTCTATGAATACGTTATTACCTACTCGCCCCCGCTTATCAAAGTTTATTTGCAGCGTGTGGTTTACTCTGTACCGGTGCTTATTCGTTATTACAACGGCGGAGTGTTTTATTGCCGGGGCAGGGCTGAAATCGCGAACGGCGCCCTTGTTTTCGCTATACATTTCCTCACGATTTTTTAGTTTTTGAAGTTAATATAATGTTTTTTTGTTGCAGATCGAGGACGCCATGTTAATGTTTGATAAACAAACCAATAGGCACAGAGGTAAGTTCCATTATTTAAGTGAACATGTTATACAACAAACAGAGCAATCGGGGACCTTCATAAATCAGTGCGCCAATACAATCCAAGTATCTAATACTATATATTAATGTCTTCCACATTAATAAAACTATTCCAATAATGTCTTTGTGTAGCTATTCTTACGAGTCTTCGTGATTAAGGTCTAAGAAATAACCGTAGATCTAATATAATCGTCCTTACTTTAATGATATTAACAAAGTATATTTAGAAAGACTTTGTTACAAAACGAAATAACACAACACATTTCATTTTAAAAATAGTAAACCTATAGTATTATACGTTATCCGATACAAAACACGTACTAGCTTACCGTCACTGGCTTGCTAAACATATCATTTATGTTTGTCTTGCTTTATTTCCTTGGCCGTTTTCGCCACACAAAGTCGTCACTTGTTAACTAGCAACGGATAAATATAGGCTCCGACCCTCAATGAAAGCTAACCAGTCTAAACAGACATGTCACTAGCTAAGCAACCTTTTTTCTGATGCTTGTATGCATAGCTAACAGGAAATGAAAGGAGTTCATTTTAAGATGGCAAGTCGGTTGCGGTGAAGTGAAGCGAGACGGAGGTGGCATCGTCACTAAACAGGCCCACCGTTTTCGGTATTGTGCTCTCCCCCATGTTACGACTATTCCCGGCTAATAAATAACAAATCGACGCCCGGATAAAATATACGGTTTCCACGCTAGGAGATTTTGTATTATTGTAAGGGTAAAACGAAAGTTACGTTGAAATTTACCTGTTTCCAATTTCGATGGTTACATTTCCATTTTTTCTGAATATAACTCACATACATGTCATAAACAAGTCAATAAATTTTGTCCCGAAATACTAAAGTGCGGAGCTCATGTAATCAGTTTGTTTCATTGTCCCTAGAACGCATAAGATTTTAATTAAAATCCACGAAAAACGTATCAAGGCAAGCCATCTTTTACAGCCAACGAAGGTTCCCTTGTAGCAGTTACAGCAAATACAATGTTAAATTTGCTTTTGTAATCCCCATTACACAAAAACAGGTTGACCCAAATATTCAGGCTCGGTGAAATAACGTTGCGCCGTCATTTATGCAAGTTCGCGAAAACGAATCCTGTTTCATACCCCTCCAAAGGGAAAACCATCCCTTTCTTAAAGCTCTAAGACATAAAATAATTTACCGATATTCTCAAACTTAAACACCCATTGTGTGTTGTTATTGATATACATTAAACAAAAAGGGCATTATGCCCAAAATACATTCAAAATGTCTTTGGCAGAAGTATTACCTACAAATCAAGAAATTCGTTTACACTTTACTCCGTAATACAAATTAGTAACTAAATAGGAATGGCACATATAATAATTTAATATAAATATTCTTTAGGCGTCCCTAATACTACAGACGGGTTATTTTCCTCGAAACGTAATCAGTTGGGTCGGGTTATCCTGGTAAGAAATGTAAAAATATCCGCTGTTTATTTGTATCAAACTCGGGCAAGAGGCAACCCAAACGCTTATTCAAACTGAATATGAATGCAAACTGCCCCGGCGAACGGCCGAAATGGCGAAAATCAAATTAGGTATGGCGTGAATACTTCACGGCGACGTCGAAAAAAAAAATTGAAATCAAATATTCATTGACTTTCAACCGGATAAGCCGGCCCGCAGCCATTTCAATACATTTTATTATCTATTTTCGTTACGAGGACCACGCCTCGGCGGCGGCGGTGACGCAAACCCCGACACACACCACTATCTTACTACCAACCATTTCCAATATTAATAATCCTAAACGTATTACTGATTTATAAGACACCGTTACGACTAACACGAAAACAAACCATATTGCTCCAAGGCGTGTTCATTACGACAATTCGATAGCTTTTTTTAAAAATTCTAAATGTTGTATGGTTTCTTGAGGCCTAAATAAGATGATATTCAGTGAATTAGGCCTTTGGGATAAAAAAAGGTTGGATTTTAGAGATTGAATCCGGTATACATTTCCTTGTAGTTATAAGCCGAAGCCAAAGTTCAACATTAAAGATATTATTTTCAAATCATATGTCAGAATGTCGAATTAATTTTCGAAAGAAACAAAGTAATTTTCATTGGGGTTTTTATTTTTCGCCAATGTTTCATACTTCACATATTATTTAGGCTATATATCATGTGTTAAATAAAGACTTAATTCATACGGTGATTTTTATGTTAAGCCGTTTTGAATCTGTGAAATAAAAAACCTTTTAGCTTTTTCAGTACATTAAATATGCGCGAATAATGCGTTTAATAGCACCCTTTACTTTTATTTACGACCACTGCCGTTTGAAAAAATAATTAACGGTGTCCCTTTGCCGAAACAATTCCATTGTCTCCCTTCTATTATTTTATTTTTGTATATAGTATACCAATGAGAATTATTCCTATAATCCTAGTGTACATTTTCAAATTCTGGTATTATCAGTAAATACGATGAGGCAGTCGTTTCATAACATAATCAACGAAGCGTCGCTGTATATGTTCACGTTCGTTTGGCATTCAAAGTGTCAACGGAGCTTGAAGTAAATGCCATTACACAAAGGTAAATGCGACGTGTGAGAGGCAAAGTTCATAAATATTAAATTAAAAAAAAACTAGCGCACGCAATCTCTGCGGAGCAGATTCCATTTGGTTGCGCGAACCACCTCACGCGCCTATGGGACGCATTTCTACGAGTGCGTGCCTTGCTACTGTGAAAATTTCACCTCTCACTTTGCATAAAAGTAGTGTCATCTATATTTCATTTCACACACTTCGTGACGTGTAAAGACGCCTATCGCGTGAATCATAAATGGCGATCGTTTTCTTCGAGTGCTATACAATTTCCTTAAGTCGCAAAAGTACATACACACTAGAGTATTTTTAAACTTAATGCCCTTCACGTAGTAGCGTTTCCACACCCTTCCTCTTTTGTTCATAGCGCCTTGTTTACGATATTTCTTGATAAATTATTGCTGTCGTAAATTTTCACGATATATGTAATAAAAAGTAAACTTATTTTACAATTGTAATAAAATAAATATTTACAACTTAAATAACAATTTAATCTCTGAAATATCGATAGAATTTAGGATGATTTTTATGTAATCTTATCTCTCTGCAATTCACTTCAAGAAACACTTCAATTTCGCTATTTTTGTACATGTCGAGGCAATTCTAATAACGGCAAAGCTTCTGAAGTACCTAGAGCTCTCAGACTGTGTAAGACTACAATCTTACAAAGCATCTTAGTACAAAGGAATTCGATCTTTATGTATGTGCGAATGAGGGTTGTTTGTCGGTTTGTATAAGTATGTTCGGCGAGTGCTAAGTGGCTGCACGTGGCTCGGTCTCCGGGGAACATCGGGAATACACAAGCTTTAGGTGCATCTTGCGGATAACCAACAGCCTCTGTTAATATTACGCGTATTACAATTATTTGAGTTTAAAACAATCTTGAGTTTCAGTTATTTAATTTATTGTAAGAGGTTAAGTATACATGTGTTAAAATTTAAAGTCTTACCTTTCATTTAATTCATATTTGAAGGGTGTATTATTTCATACTGGTTCCTTGGCTATAAAATATACGTATAAAACGTAATTTAAAAATTAGTTGTCTTCAAAATTTAGAATGGATACAAATGCTTGTAATGTATTTGCTCAGTGATTACAGATCACGAAAATCGCTGTTTCGATCAGGGTTAGCGACTGGCTAAATTTACATGCATTGTAATCAATCAGATTGGTACTACTTTCATGAGACAATTTTAATAAAATGCGAAAACCTTTTTCAATGTTGATCAGTTGTACCACTAAATAATCTAAATGGGTGAATATGTGTCTTCTGAATAAACTACTTTCATACTAATATAAATGAAAGATATAAATAAAAAATGATATTCATGATATAAATAAAAGGTTCCAGTTCTGTTCATTGGGTTAGTTCTATTCTAATCAGCATAGTCCATATTATTTCATCTAAAAGGACTCATGCCTTCATTAACAACATTTTTTTACCCGCAAGAAATATTCATTAGTGATTTGAGGACAGTTTGCAACTAAAAATAATAATCGAATATGCTTTGAAAAACATAGATGTTATCGCAAAGCTTATATAAATATTAACAAACTTTTGACGCTTAGGACTACTTGGCATTTTAATGTATTTGTGTCAAATATTTAAGTATAAAACTATAAAAAATGTTTTGTAAAATATAATATACAGTTTTAAATAGATTACTTTATATTTGTTTTAATCAGACTCCGAAAAATCAAACTTCATAACCGCACACAACCGGACACAAAGAACACCCAGACTCAGAACAACAATTTGTGGATCACACAAAGTGTTATTCTACGTGGGGATCGAACCCACAACACTTAGCATAGTAGGAAGCGGCGAGGTAACCGCTACAGTTATGCATGCAAATTAAAACAATAGTAACGTATAAACCACGTTCTTTCTCACATACTTTCAGTCTCCTAAGTTTATTTTTGCTATAAGATAGGTAAGTAACGTGACATGCACGAAATACTACTCTACTTACTCTCTATGGAACAGAGGCGCGACAGAGTACGATACTCGTAACTTTATCGAATCCCCGATCAACCAAGTCCTCCGAGGTTTGGTGTCGAATGCATCTCAGTGATGCATCGAAATGAGAAAGTAGAAGGAACACACGGGAACTGGTAATGACCTGTTTACAGAGTGACACTTCTTTCCGCTTTGCACACTTTGGTTTAAGAACAGACAGTTTTGTCTTTTTTTATCTTTTAAATATTCATGCATTCACTACTCTTTAGTATCAATTGCCCTCTTACATATTACAATATAAAAAGTTTGAATTTTAAAGACGAATTACATTTTTGGACCTGTTTTAAAAATTCTTAACGGTTTTAAAATTGTCTAGTCGTTGATAAAATGCCAACATAGGTAAATTATTTTTCAATTTAATTTCATTAACCAAA